AGTGGATTCGTTGATCTCCGGGTCCTCTACTACTCACCTTAGTCTCGTACTACGGAATACCTCACTTTTTTAGTTGCTCCTCGTTGAGTCGTTCTTGACTTCTGAGTGAACGGTACGCCGGCTGCCGGATTTCCTGGTGGGTGACTTTTCTTCTTCCTCTCGACCAATTACACCTGGCCATTCTTACCATACCATTACCACATATTACACTCTGGGGCTGAGGTTGGTGGCTTATGACCTAGGTACTTTAGGCTGTGACGGTGGTCAAGATACCTACGTTCCTGACCGTAAAGTACTTGATCGTAACCTATCTTTCTGCCTCAGGTGTCTGAATTCACCCCCCTCAAGTCCCTCACTGTGGCTGTCTCTCTCCCTCTTCTCACTCACTCTTCCCCCCTCACCACCACCATCACAACCACATCCGCAACCAGTCTCAAGCTTCGCGAAGGTGGTCTGTGTTCCGGGTAGTGGCGATTCATCTTCCCCTTCTCTCTTGTCATTTCGTCTCATCTTCCGTTTCCCGACGACCTCCGTTGAGACCGTCGCTTCTTTGCTTCGGTTTATTCGCGGAGGACGAGGAAGGATACGACAGACCCAGGAAAACCAACACCTGGTGGCCCCTGGTCTTTAATGATATCAAGCGTGACGACTGATTATTTCCATTCTTAGTGAGAGCGATTTATCTAGAGAATCCTTTCTTGTTTCTCTTTTCTTTTTCGTCGCTTGTGTTGTATCGCAGATACACCCCGTCTTTATTTTTCTCATTTTCTTTTCCTCAAATCAGAGACCATCAACCCGCCTTCGCTGGTGGAAACTTTTTCTATCGCTTTCCCCAGAGCCAAAGTCAACCCCCTCTCGACCAGGTCGTCTGCTATTATTTTTCGCCAAACCATTTTATTCCCAGTTCACGACGCCTGCGCCGGGTAGCTCCTATGTTTTGAGCACTGTCGTTTAGGCTCATCGGGTTTGTTGTGTGGTGGGTATTCCAGTGCCCACATTCCACGGTTGGTCGCTAGTTGGGAATTCTCGTTTCTCGGCCGCCATGAGTTATCAACAATCACAGGAGATGTATCACGACAATTCTTCTGCGCGTTCCCCTGGCTCTCAGCGTCACCAGCAGCCTCTCCACCGTCAGCCCTCGCGACAATTCGATGCATACGGCCCAATGCCTGTCAATCTGTACGATGATTCAATGGCTCGCTACGACACCGGCCGTCTCGAGCGCTTGAATCCGTCATTGCACAATACCTCTTATGCTTATGACCTCCCAGGTTCTCAGACTTGGAATCCAAATGGGTTTGCCAACGCCCAGACTCTGGGAGCCATCCGTTCGGCCTCGGCCAGTCTGAAGCCCACCTCGCGCACTGGTCGGGCGGGTTTGCCTACGGTATGTGGTGACTTCAAATTTCCTAAACTATTATCTTTGTCTGTTATGCTAACTCAAGAATACAGACATGGCTTGATCAGCAGCCTGGTATGCCCGGTCCTTTTTCGAATCTCGGACCCGGACCCCTTCAAAGTGGTGCGGTGCGTTCCGAAGCCGCAGTTCCCTCGGAGGGAGATGACGAGTTGATTCCGACCGCGATCGTTATCAAGAACATCCCTTTTGCTGTCAAGAAGGAGCAGTTGGTGCAATTGATGACTGAGCTGAACCTCCCGCTTCCTTACGCGTTCAACTATCACTTTGACAATGGCGTGTTCCGGGGTTTGGCCTTCGCCAATTTCACCTCTGCTGAGGAAACCGCCACCGTTATCGAGGTTCTTAACCACTTCGAGCTCCAAGGTCGGAAGTTGCGGGTGGAGTACAAGAAGATGCTCCCTCTCCAGGAGCGCGAGCGCATCGAGCGGGAGAAGCGTGAACGTCGCGGTCAGCTGGAGGAACAGCACAGGCCCATGGCTGCCTCGCAGCTTCAGACTCAGAGTTCCATGTCTTCCCTCACGTCCCACATTCCTGCGACGTCTCCTTCTCCCGTTTCGCAGCGTGGCCAAAAGCTGGGTAAGTCAGAGCGAGCCATTCTACGCTCCGAAATCTGTTTTGACAGTTCCAACGCTTCCGTTGCGTTCGATTATGCTAATTTCACTTTCATTGCAGAGGTTGATTTGAATGACAGCACAACGCTCTCTTATTACTCTCAGCTCCTTCTTTTCAAGGAAGATCCCAGCCGCGATTCCGTGCTCTTCCCGTCTACTCTCAGCCCTATCCAGCGCCGGACGGTCCACACTCTTGCACACAACATGGGTCTTGGTCATGCTTCTCGTGGTACTGGCGAACAGCGACAGGTGCAGGTTTTCAAAGTCGCTCCCGGTACTAACGTCAGTCCGCCTCTAACCTCCATCCCGACTGCTGTTCAGCCAGCCGATACCGCTCGTCGTGGATTGAATCGCGCAGCTACCATTGACTTCAGCGAGGCCAGGAACGAGGGAGGGCCTGGTCATTTTAACAATCTTCGTGGACAGACGTCCGGCTTCCTCGGCGTTCTTGATTCGCCTGGAAACTACGGAAATACCCAGAATCTCCGCGCGGCCAAGTCGTTTGCCGATCTCCGCTCGTATACTCCTTCTCCCGTGCCTTCTTCCGCGAGCTTCCCGGCAGCCTTGCAATCCAATGGCACACGTTTACAGCATTACGAGGCTGTGACCAGCGGCGCGTCGAACACCCCCACCTTGACTTCAGCCCCGTCTGGCTCCTCCCTTGGCGTGCAACGGGACGACAATCTTTTGGTGAACAGTCTGAGCAGCCTGTCCCTTGGTACTGGAATCGGAGGGCCGAATGCGAGCCCCAGGAGATTGAGGGGTATGTTCTCTTGGGATCAGCAGGAAAGTCAGCCTTCCAGCGCTGGTCCCATTGGTAGTAACCGATCCATCGGACTTGGATTTGACGGTCAGTCACAGGAGCGCATGCCCATTAGGCAGCCTAGAGGCCCAATGCCTGAGAAAGGCTCGGGATTCCGCCGATCGAACGGACACCAATCGCGTGGAAGTGATGAATTGCGCACCAATTCTGGAGTGGAGATTATTGTGGAGTAAGATGCTGGACAAAAAAAAAGCCCATGATCGATGAGAGACGAAGACAACGGAACTTGTTTAGATTGCTTTGCCGCGAGACGAATACGACTCTTATATCACGAGGCCTAATCCAGATGTGCGATTACTGGCTTACGATTCGATGAGGGATGACGCGATGACACTCCAAGAGAATCAAAAGAAAACTTTTTCTCTGATCTAGTCAAGTTTTAGACATTATTTTGGGGCAGCCCATCAGGCACACTGTTTGGACGGACTCGGTACTTTTTTTTCCTCTTTTCTTCTCAGAACACCATTGCAAAAAGAAAGCTCTGAACTTCTGAGACGCGGGCGCCTTGCATGCGAGAAAAACATTCTTCTCTTTTCATTTCTGTGTCATTTGTTCCGATCTTGCGTTTGCGGCGGAAAGCACAATAAAAATTCTGTTTTAACTGGAGGGAGGTCTACGACGAACGACATTAAGAAATATCTCATCATGTCTTTGACTGACACCAAAAGAGGTGGCATACCAGCATTCGCATATTGTTGCTTCTGTATACGGGCGATTTGCATTGTTTAATGTTGATTTCTCGATTTTATTTTCTTCTCTGTTTCTTGTTTTAATCTTCAGCACTATTCTTCTCTAATTCATTCTGGATTCGAGCTGTTTTGAGCGGTACTGGACGGATATGTTTTATCATATCACGTCTCCCCTTCCTCCGCCTGCATATGTGGCTGGTTCATGGCCTTGCATGCCGATGACAACGGACCAAGGCCATATTCAATCGGACATTTGCGCAGCATTTTCGAGTTAACATGTCCAATCGCTGTCGTCGAACCGAGCAATTCTCCTTGCGTTGTGCCGGAGCGCTGGCAAACGAGGAAGAAAAAAAAAAAAAGGGAATAAAGCTCGTCTTGACCGTCTGCTCGAGAGCACTTAACTCAATGGTTTCCATACGGATTTAGTCAACCGGTGGCTTTCTGCATCATCTACACTCTGGCGGCTCTTTTTCGAGGTTTGGCCCTCCTGCGTCTTCTGTTCCCTTTCCACTTGGTTCCTGAAACCAATTTTTCAGTTATCATCTTTGTCAAGTTCTCCAATCAATGTATGTGTTATTTAGTAAACCCCTTTATTTTCTACTTTGATAGTTATTATACTGAGTAGCGGCCGGTGTCATGAGTAGCATAAGAGTAACATCCAGCAGTGGACTAGCAAGGCTAGAATTGCATTAGGGATGTATCAAGCATAATCCGCACTACGTACAACCTATGGCATCCCTTGCGACAATCCATTTTTTGTCCACAGAAGTATACATGGCTGAAACAGCATCATTTCATTCAATTTGTTGGATATATGCGTCGTTAACAAGTTACAAAATTTCCGCGCTTGAAAGATATCAAGGTAAGCCATTGCATTTCTTGTACCCAGATGGAGGAACTGAGATACTGTTCTATAGGTATACATTAGATTGTGACTAAAGCATGAGACCTACTGATACAATTTCATCAAAATGGACTAAGGATAAATATAACAAATAGGTAAAATAATGAAAATCACAACACCGTTGATCAATTTAAAAGAGAAAGTAAAGAAAAACAGGCATTTTAGAAAGACGTTTCCACTACCGAGATATCCCCATAATTCCCATTACAGCGCCCAGGCAAGTCACGCAAACGGTATAAACTGACCAGGAAGATGGAAGAACCGATTCAAAAAAAAAAAAAAAAGACAGAAAAAGAGATGAGGAAAGAGGTACGCGAGGCGGCAAGGAATGGAGTAGAACAATCCCAGGTGCAGTGTGGTGGAGGGGCGGACGGACGATGGAGGATGCGCCTGACGTTATTGCCGCAAGGATTATCGCTCGAGCATGACTGTTTTCAGGCACGGCCTCGTGAAGCGAGAAAAAGAAATGCTGTAGCCGGGCTCATGAGCAGAACCTCTTTATTCATCAAGATCAAACGCCGTATTCGTGGGGTATTTGCCGTTTTGTTCGTTTTTAAGCCTCGGACTTGTTCTTCTTCTTCTGCTCCACCTTGAGTAGCAGCGCACGGTTGATACGTGGCAGGACACCACCGAAAGCGATGGTGGCGCGGATCAAAGTATCCAACTCCTCGTCACCACGGATGGCGAGCTGTAGGTGGCGGGGCGTGATACGCTTTACTTTCAGATCCTTGGCGGCGTTACCAGCAAGTTCGAGGACTTCCGCAGTCAGGTATTCCAGAACAGCCGTGACATAGACCGCAGCTAAAATATGTGTGTCAGTGAATCATGACTAGAAAACACGTCGACGGGGCAGATGAGGGAGTCGTGAGAAAGGTAATCATACCTTTAGCGCCAACTCGCATCTTATTTTGCGTGTTGTTCTTCAAGAAACGCTTGACACGACCACAAGGGAACTAAACCAGGACTCATATTAGCTCCAAGTGTCCAAGCGAATCCTCAAACGAGGTCGCGGATTGAAGACAAGAAAATATTGATGATCTCCATTGATGACCTCCATGGCAATAAAGTCTCGCAATATGTTGCGTCCTCTACGATTTTCACATTCGCGATCCGATGAAACTCTTGACAGGCAAAGAAGTTCCTCAACATCGGACGTGAAGACGCGTTCTTCCAATGGAATTTTCCGCAACTTCGAATTCATCACAAAAAGTCGTTGCCAGAGACATCAGAAGGCATGAAACAATATTGTTTCTGTGCATAGTACTAAGGAGCAAACGATATACTGACCTGCAAACCCGCCTTTGCGCTGTGAGACTTCTGGGTTTTCCCCGCAGCATCCTTCGCACCAGCCTTTCCGCCAACAGACTTTCCCTTTCCGCCGGGCATATCGAAAATTGTCGAGATTCGGAGTCGCAGAGATAAAAATGACGCGTTGAGCAAGATTCAAATGAGTTGGCCAACGGTGGTGGATGTTGTGATGGTTCAAAGTCCTCAGATACGCGCGTTGTTGATGGATGAAGGAGTCAGAAATGTCAAAGCCATCCTGGTCGCTAAAGGCGTTGATCGGGGAGGGGCGCTAATCCCGATTAGGAACAATGCTCAGCTTCGACTTGGATGCTTCGAAAAGGAAGCTGAGAAGGCATACTGAGCGAGTCACAACGCCAGGTAAGCTTCAACTCGGTTAAAATAAGATGAGCAAATGTAGCTTGTCTGTACTTTAGTCAGTAAAGATTGATTAGCAGAATAAGCATGGCCCATCTATGATGGTGCTGGGACTTCGCGGCATGGCTGAAGCCAACCCCTCAGGTATGGTACGGCTTTCAGCCATGTTTCTTCGTCGTTAATGTTCATCCGACATTGAATATGTCTCAACCCATGTTGTTACTTAAGAAGATTAACATCTCAGACGTTGTAGTCGAGCAAATGCTCATGTCAAGCAACTGAGCAAGCCTGATGACGATAATTGACGCTGCAGTGTGTTGCAGTTGTTGGGGCGCACATTACATAACCTAAGCAGGTGACTTTGATGCCTTAGACCAAACTCTGCCTGAGGACGCAGCAGATTGACAAACAAACAATATCTCGTTATCAGGCCAATCGAAAGATAAGCCTCACGTGCCACGTTTTGGCACTACGGAGAAGGGATTTCTTCACGTGATCTCACGCCATCTGGACAGCTGTTCGACTTTCTGGGGCTCCAGATTTGCGCTTTGTCAGAAAGTTCTGCCTGCACGCGCCTCCCTCCTCGACGCTTCAGTTTCAGTTTCAGTCCTGCCAGTATTTGGTCTTTATCGTCAAAGGACCTTGTCGTCAAAATGGTGAATCCTCAAGTGTGAGTCGTCTCCGCGCATTTCTTCTTTGCTTCTCTTTGACATAGAGTGCCTTTTTCCATAATTATTTTCCTTTGGCAGAGGTCGAATAAGACTGACCATGGCTTTATCTCTGCAGAACTAACCTGGCCATCATCCTTGTGATGATGCAGCTGGCGAAGAAGGTTCCTTTTGACAACCCGGATGTCCTCTTCCTTGTCCGTTGCATATACCTCGCGTCCAATGTGATCATTCTTGGACTTTACATGTATACGCAATCCAAGATCAATCAGAAGAAGGGTACGCACTTGTCCGCAGTTGCACCGGGGAGTTATGGTGGAAGCTAATTGAATTATTACAGATATGACTACTCTGAAGTACGTCGAGCCTGCCCCCATGGGCAGTGGCGAGGAGCCTCGCCCCGTGACTACCACCAACATGGATTACGACAAGGGACAACTGCGCCAATTGATGAAGTCGCAGCTCATGGGAGTGGGTATGATGGGTGTCATGCACCTGTACTTTAAGTACACCAACCCCCTCCTGATTCAGTCGATCATCCCTCTGAAGAGCGCATTGGAGTCGAATCTCGTTAAGATCCATGTTTTCGGGAAGCCCGCCACTGGAGATCTTCAGCGTCCTTTCAAGGCCGCCAACAGTTTCCTGAGCCAGGGCCAGGTCAAGAGCGACAAGGCCTCCGTCGAGAACGCCGAGAAGAACTGGCGTGGCGGTGTCAAGGAGGAGTAAGCTGCTGGATCAATTAGTCTTATGTGACAGTTGTGGGCAAGAAATTCTTTCTTCACTTGTAATTATAGAGGCGACTTCAATGCAGACTCTGGGAGGCGATCTAGATTGCAATCAGGTTGCTAGACCAGGTCATGGTTAACGGCAGCGTGGTAGTCGCAATCTATCACATTGTATTGATAATGCCACTGGTTTCTTGACCGCTTCATGAAAATCAGCTTATGTACGAGGGTTCATCCGGCGACTTGTCCCCTTTGACGTAGGCTGTTAGATTAGCTGCTTTGATATCTAAACGTCGGTGTTCGTAGGCGGCGAGCATCGATGAAAAGATGTCTCATAGGCTCCGGTTATTTGAAGCAGATGCGTAGCAAACGGGTGATTCAGTGATGAGAACATAACAAGTCGTCTTCGCGGTTGGCTTTAATCTCCTAAAAATCTGTAACAAGGAGTAGATCCTTGAATTTTCATTGGAAGGATAGAACGAACTCGATTATACTCGACGGAATTATTAAATTTGATATCAACTGCACAATTCGTTTGACAGAAGACTACATCTAATAAGTTTGAGACTATTTGTGCATCCAGAAAATGTCATGCAATGCCTGCAGGTGTCTCAAATCTCAATTGGGTGAGGAAAATCAAAGGATATCCATAAGGCACAATCCTTTTTATTGACATGTTCCAATTGTCCGCCGGCTAAAGGCAGAGATTTCAAATCCTGAGGAGACAAAAGGGGCAAAACAAAAAGAAATGGAGATAAGGAAAAAAAAAAGAATGTAGCACATGATACTTTACTTGCAGCCGGTGAGAATTTCTGGAGTACGGAGAAGCCCTTCAAGCCCTCTCAAGCTTCGGTGAGAGACTGCAGTGATGGAGGTAAGCTAAGGTATGATTAAGAGCTCCGCACATTCTAGAAGTCCTTAATAGGAGGTTTTGGATTAACATTGTTCCGATGAAGGAGTTATGGTCCCAAAGCGGAAAAGCCGGACAGCCCCTCTTCCAGAGCGTCTCTTGGTGGGCTGTTTTTAAGTCGTTCCGTTTCTGTTACATCATCCAGAGAGGTTGCCCACCTCATGGATAGAGGCACTGCGGCTATCCTTTCACCATCCGAAGCGAGTATAAGCGGGTGCCAATGCAACGAGAATTTCTGTATCATAATAACCTAGGTATTCCGTAACCTAACATCAGTCTTTCCGAAGAGCTGGCAGAAGCTTCACGAGATTTGTAGGAGCGAGTACCCGGCTGGACGAGCATGCAGCACGGCTATTGGTTAGCACGGCAGCTACCGAGGGGAGGCAGGCCACCCAAATATCGTGAGTCTCCTGCTTTGCCCGGTGTATGAAACCGGAAAAGCTGCTGAAGAGCTGCTGGGCGGCGCATATCGGGAATCCAGCACAAGCTGACCCAGAAAGACCCGTTTTCAAGCCATTACCGTAGCAATCAATTATTGTGTAGCAACACTGGGAAGCTGTAGTACATAGGCTGGAGTAGCTATTTGGCCTTTAGCCCCGTCTGTCCGCCCGGTGTGCGGTTTTGACTGGCGCGCAAGCTTCAAGGTGAACAGGTCGTTGCGTCAGTCGGAGACAACAAGCCATTGCCTTTTCTACTGCCCCTCCCCCGCCGCTGGGCTCTTTCTCTCCTCTTCTACTCTTTTCCCATCATCATCAGCATCATCATTCTACTGTCTATCTTTCTCTCTATCACTCTATAAAGTAAGAATATATCCATCTTCCCTCAATCCCATCTACAACTGTGTCCTCTTCACACACACACACACTCTCTCTCTCTCTTTCTTAAAGCTTGACTAACATCCACCCCACTCAGTACCAGACAAATCTACACAATGGCCACTCCCAAGGTATGAAGGTTCTGATCTCTGTGAAGCGGGCCCTGCTTCAATGCGTCACTGCGCCATATACTCAACTTCTCTTGTAGGTTGGTATCAACGGCTTCGGTCGTATTGGAAGAATTGTAAGTTTGATAGACCTCGTCGCCTATTTGGATATCCAGAAGCTAACAGGCCATCGCAGGTCTTCCGTAACGCGTAAGTAGCGGCTGTGCTACATCAATGGAAGGTTATTCTAATAGATTGATTTGAACAGCCTCAGCCACGGCCTAGTCGACGTCGTTGCTGTCAACGACCCTTTCATCGAGGTTCACTATGCTGTACGTCCTCCAAGCCATTCAGCTAGGCTCCTCCATCATTTGACCCCAGAGACTGACTGAACACGATACGGATGCTATAGGCCTACATGCTCAAATACGACTCCACCCACGGCCAGTTCAAGGGCACCGTTGAGACCTATGACCAGGGTCTGATTGTCAACGGCAAGAAGATTCGCTTCTATGCTGAGAAGGATCCCTCTCAGATCCCCTGGTCTGAGACCGGCGCTGCCTACGTCGTTGAATCCACTGGTGTTTTCACCACCAAGGACAAGGCCTCCGCTCACTTGAAGGGTGGTGCCAAGAAGGTCATCATCTCCGCTCCTTCTGCTGATGCCCCCATGTTCGTCATGGGTGTCAACAACACCAGCTACACCCCCGACGTCCAAGTCCTCTCCAACGCCTCTTGCACCACCAACTGCCTTGCACCCCTGGCCAAGGTCATCAACGACAAGTTCGGCATTGTTGAGGGTCTCATGACCACCGTCCACTCCTACACCGCTACCCAGAAGGTCGTTGATGCTCCCTCCAACAAGGACTGGAGAGGTGGTCGTACTGCTGCCCAGAACATCATTCCCAGCTCGACTGGTGCTGCTAAGGCCGTCGGCAAGGTCATTCCTTCTCTCAACGGCAAGCTGACCGGCATGGCCATGCGTGTTCCTACCTCCAACGTCTCCGTCGTTGACCTCACCTGCCGCCTCGAGAAGGGTGCTTCCTACGATGAGATCAAGCAGGTCATCAAGGCTGCCTCTGAGGAAGGCGAGCTCAAGGGTACGTGAACTGCTGAGCTGCTTCCACGGTGAATATTACTGACGGGTTGTTATTAGGCATTCTCGGCTACACCGAGGACGAGATTGTCTCCAGCGACCTGAATGGTGATGAACGCTCCTCCATCTTCGATGCCAAGGCTGGTATCTCCCTCAACCCCAACTTCGTCAAGCTCGTCTCCTGGTACGACAACGAGTGGGGTTATTCTCGCCGTGTTGTTGACCTCATCGGTAAGTTCACGTTCAGCCTGGTTCTCAGGTCTGCCTTATACTGACTCGTCATTTCAGCCTACATTGCCAAGGTCGATTCCCAGTAGGAATCAGGACGGAAAGTTGAAACTAGAAGTCTTCTGTGAAATAGAGACATTCCGAAGTCGGATACAACATGCCCTGCGGACAAAAACGCACTGGAGATCATGGCTCTGGGCATAAAAGCATATGATAACGTACTATTTAATGAAATGACTTGACGTTGCCAAATCCTGAATGCTTCTGCTTCTTGTTTGAGGGGGCTCTGTAAACGTAGCGTCATTCAGCCAACATGAATACTGGAGCGAAGAGGTCGATGATCAGTCATTCTCGAACACAGCCGGGCAAAGATCGGCAAACGATCGGGAGCCAAACACGTGACTAAACGTAGCTCACTGTATAGCAGATTGGAGGAGCCTTGAGTGTGTCTGGATCATTTGGGCTGCTATACAAATCTTTCGCTCAACTATCTGTCCGCCCAATTCCGGAAAGCATCGAGACTTTTTCCACTTTGGTAACCAGCCTTCCTGCTCTGGAGTGGCCTACCACCAACTTACCTGGCGTTGAGTTCCGCCATAGTCACGTGAGCTGGGAGCTAGATAGGCCACGCCTTTTAGAGCTTCCTACGCTACATAAACCAATAAACTCCTAACCCAGCACGCCTTCCTGCTGGCCGCAAAGATTGCCATATCAGAAATTATTCAGTGGCGCAGATGTATTAGATGTCAAGATCCTCAGTGAATTTTCTCTGTACACTTTTCCGCTGCCATCTCCTGAATTGCCTGAGCTGGGATTGTTCTACATCGGGCCCTTGTCTCTAAGCGACTAAGCTAAAAGGCATCCTATCTCTTTGTCTAGCTCTTTCTTCTCATATCTCTGCAGGAGCTCCTATCTTTCTTTCACGGTTTCACCCATCTTTTATATCTATTACTTTTTTAATCTCGCAAATCCTTACATTGGTTTCATTCCTTGCTTTGCTCAGAGTAGGCATTGTCTTTGGTGGATATTTCAGGGTCATTTGAGACCCATTCTTTTTCTTCGAGCAGATCTGCAGACTCGGCCATGACATGTTGAGACTATTAAGTTTCCAAGCCTAGGGAGAAATCAAAAGCTCGTCACATCATCCTCCAATGGCCATGGAGCGGGATGGTGACACTCTGATGGGAGAGGCAGGCCCCCATCACCCCAGCGCTAGCGCTTCACATGGCCATCCCACCAGCAATCCCAGTGTGCCAGCAATTCCAGGGACTCTCAACGGAGGAACTGACCCTTGGCTTGCTCCACCGCTTCTGGGGCAGTCTATGAATCTGCCTCTGCCTGCTCAATTGGGCGATCAGCATGTGGCTGCACCAGTTGCTCAAGCACAACCCACAGTGCCACCAAGGGCTCCAGAAAAGTCAGCTGGACCTAGTGCTGCTATCACTGAGCCCGCCAAAAGAGCAGACAGCATTGTTGAGGAAACGTCAGACTGGTCTGAGGAGGATTTAGGGGCGCGTGTAGGGCTTCCTCTTACGTCTCTACCGTCAGGGCTCTGCTATGATGTTCAGATGCGCTACCATTGTGAGGTGCGACCAACTGCAGATGTTCATCCTGAGGACCCTAGGAGAATCTATTACATCTACAAGGAGCTATGCCGAGCAGGGCTCGTTGATGACCCAGAGTCTTCAAGACCGCTTGTCGCACGACCTCTGAAACGTATTCATGCTCGCAACGCCACCGAGGCTGAGATCTCTCTCGTTCACACGCCGGACCATTACGCTTTTGTTGAAAGTACAAAAGGTAAAAGCGAATGCAATAGGCTCAAGTCTCTCCCTACTTCAAGCTCTGACCATTACCACAGACATGTCCGATGAGGAGCTCATCGCTTTGGAGCATACCCGTGACTCGATCTACTTCAACAAGTTGACATTTGCATCTTCCCTCTTATCAGCTGGAGGAGCAATTGAGACATGTCTAGCTGTAGCCACTCGCAAGGTTAAGAATGCCATAGCTGTCATTCGGCCGCCAGGGCACCACGCAGAACACGACAAGACTATGGGATTTTGTCTGTTTAACAATGTTTCCATCGCGGCGCGTGTTTGTCAGAGAGCACTCGGGGAAAGCTGCAGGAAAATCTTGATTGTTGATTGGTACGTCTTCCTCCTCACACTGATACAAAACCTTGCTAATTTGGTCAGGGATGTTCATCACGGTAAATGAAGAATACCTGCAAATATCCGACTCAAGTATAGCATCTCATGATTCATAGGCAACGGTATTCAGAAAGCGTTCTACGACGACCCCAACGTTCTCTACATCTCCCTTCATGTCCATCAAGACGGAAAGTTTTACCCCGGAGGGGACGAGGGCGACTGGGACCACTGCGGAGCTGGCGCTGGTATTGGAAAGTAGGCTTATCCAGGGATCTGAAGAAGCGAGCTCCCGTGCGCTGATCTCCATATAGGAACGTCAACATCCCCTGGCCTAGCCAAGGTATGGGCGATGGCGACTACATGTATGCTTTCCAACAGGTTGTGATGCCTATTGCGCAGGAATTCAATCCTGACCTGGTGATCGGTGAGTAGTTTGTTTCCCAACAAGTACCTACCGAGACTGACTTTAGACAGTTGCGTCCGGCTTCGATGCGGCTGCTGGTGATGAGCTTGGAGGCTGCTTTGTGACACCCTCTTGCTACGCTCACATGACACATATGCTTATGACTCTCGCTCATGGCAAAGTTGCTGTGTGTCTCGAGGTCAGTGCTGCAAACAATCTCGGTTTGACTACCGCTGAACAAAGCAGGGCGGTTATAATTTCAGATCAATCTCCAAGTCTGCCCTAGCGGTCACAAAGACACTCATGGGAGATCCGCCTGACCGCTTGCACTCAACACTTCCTTCAGACCTGGCAACCGCTACTGTAAGGCGTGTCATGATGATCCAGTCTCGCTATTGGCGCTGTATGTACCCGAAAGGGCCGCAGGAGCAGGGACTTTGGACTGATAGGTTGCACGGTAAGCCAAGCCAGTATCAGATCTGGGCCACGGTATTAACCGTCTTAGATGTCATTCGTGCCTATCAATCCAAGCAGCTGTACGACAATTTCAAACTCACCTCCCTATACATCTATCGGACATCGATCTCGAAGTCGTTCGAGAATCAAGTGCTGGCGAGGTCAGTAGAAGCATACTCAAAGTGAGACGCATGTGCTGATTCTATACAGCGCCAATTACTATCAAGCCGTGCCTCTCATTGTTATTTTCCATGATCCGTAAGTTCATCATATCCTGCAAAATAGGGAAGTTATTAACATAGAGCAGGCCGGAAATCATGGGCTTGCCTCATCCTGTCACCAACAAACTCGAGGCCCATAACTGCTGGCTGGTATGTGCGATGGTTCATCAGACTCAACAGCGTATGCTAACAAGGGCAAGGCTGATTGCATGAAGAACTATATCGGATGGGCCATCGGGAAAGGCTACGCTGTCATTGATGTCAATATTCCCAAGCACGTGACGATGGAGCCTGTAAGTAACATGGACTTTTTGTATAATGCTCCTCGCTGACGATTTGAAGACCACCGGAAAGTATGAAGATGAAGATGAGAATCGGCCTTCGGCTACCGAGGAATTGGCTGGTTATCTGTGGGACAACTACATTGAGTAAGTTTTGGGACGACTTCTCGTAGGTAACACAGCTGACTGTGCTAGACCAAATGAGGCTACTGAGATATTCTTCGTCGGCATCGGGAATGCCTTTTACGGAGTCGTGAATCTCTTGATCAACAGAGGTAGGATGACCTTAGAGAAATGGTTCAAAGCAGCAGTTGACCAAGATAGACACTCTGTACAAACGGGTCAATGGAGTTATCTCCTTTGTCGCTGAGAATCCTGTTCGAGCGATAGCCTCCCACACTCAGGTCTGGCTCTCAAGGTGGTATAAAGATGTGAGTGTTGCATTCTTCCGAGTAGATCTTTGCCGGTGTTTTATAGCCTCGAAACTGACAATTCGAGCAGAACTCACTCGTCTTTGTGTCCCACACGCATGGTGTTTGGAATAATGTGGAAACACGGCGCAAGCCGTCCAAGCGCTACGGACACCTGATTCAATCGCCCAAGGCCGGACTCAGTGAGATGCTGATGCATCATAAAGACGAGGTCTTCAAGTGGATCGAGGAAAGAGCTGATGAAGCAGAAAGTGAAGAGGAGGAGACCAAGAGCAAGAGCAAAAGTAAGAGCCGGTCCCCGACCAAAGAGAAGCCGGCTGAGCTTCCTCCTGGCCCTGTATGAGCGGCGAATACGATATTAGGGCATGGGTTGGTCTTGGGATAGTACATATCATACTAATGTTCTCTTTTTCTTTTTTTCCCCTTATTTCTCCCCTCGGATTTGAAGGAGGTTTTGATCTCGAGGACGTCTCACTCGGTTCAGCACATTGAATGCGGGATGCGACATAATGGAACGCCATCAAGGCAGTTTTCCCTTGAAAGTAGTAGATATATTAGCGTAAAATGATGTCTGTAGGTGTCTTGTTCTCCACCATTTGATATGCATACCTCCAGTCCCACTGTACTAACAACTGGGATGTTGCATGGAATCGCCTACAGTTACTCTCTCAGTCATAGAACAACACTCAACGTCAATCCTTACAAGTCAGACGATAGACAGAACTCCCAACCCATGGATAATGCAAAAGTCCCAAACGCATCGAAAGAAAAGAGCAGAAAAACAACGAAACCAAAGAAAGCCCTACACGAGCTGAGAACGCAAGGCTTCCCGAGGTGGACCGCGGGTGACACCTCACCAACCAGCTCATGGCAGTTCGGTTCCCTCGCCAGTTCATCCAGAGTCCAACGTGAAACCCATCTTATTTTTAGATTCCTGGCAAGTCGTGATGATCTGATCCACTATTGACAGGGTAGTCAGATGAAATTGTCTCAGTTGGAACCCCGCGGGGTACATCATTCTCCTCATCGGCAGCTAAATCTAAACGAATCAGGCCGAGGGCGGTATTTCCTTCAGCAAATGATGCGCTTGCTCCTCGCTTACTACCTTGGCAGGTCGAGTCCGACTGCTGTCCTAGTACTTTGCAGGTGACTACTCTTGCATTGTTAGATCCTTTGATACCATGATATGACCAACCGAGTCTGGGAAGTTGAGACATGCATGCTTAATGCCCTTTTGGAGAGAGATTGTTTGCTCATTGGAGGCGGCGGTGTACGTTGACTTGAAATTTTAGTAATGAGGCCTAATGGAGTGCCAGGGGAATGAGGAGGTGAGTGGAGAACTCGCGATGATTTTCAGGTTCGGTGGCCTTACGATGAGTGAAGAAGGTTATGAGTGGATGGCATTCGACTCTTTTGTCATAATGTCTTGAATGGAAGTATGGATGGCCAGGGTTGATTGCCTGATTTCGCCGGATCAACCGGACGATACTGAGGCTCCAGTTGCATTTTTTTGCCCTTAGTCCATGAGTCTCAACACGAGATGTCTCAGTTATGACTTGATTCAGGCTGGCAATGCTCAGTGTTTGCCATCACGAAGTATGTCATGGAACCTACAGAGGTAGCAGAGGAGCATGAGCTTTGAGATGGCAACCGCCATCTATAAAAGCCCCTATTGAGCACCTCGACTCTCGCTCCATCTTCATCTTCACCATCACCATCACATCGAATTCAGAACAAGCATCCTGAAAAACCAAAGTCAAACATGCACTTCACCACCCCACTCCTCAGCCTCGCGGCCCTCATCCCCCTGGCCTCAGCCGTAGGCAATGCCGTCGTGACAAACAACTGCGCCGCCCCAGTCTACCTCTGGTCCGTCGGCGGCTCTGTCGGCCCCAAGCAGACCATCCAGCCGGGCAAGTCCTACTCTGAAGCCCTGCACCACGATCCCGCGTCCGGCGGCATCTCGCTCAAGATCACTCGTACCGACAACGGGCTCTACGACGGCAGCCCGCAGCTCAACTACGCGTATACCCTCGACGGCCAGACCGTCTGGTACGACATGAGCGATGTCTTCGGCGATCCGTTCTCCGGGAGCGCTCTTGTCGTGAAACCGGCTACAGCGACTTGCCCGTCCATTTGCTGGGCGAACGGCGTTCCCCCTGGTGGTAGCCAGGTCAAGAACTGCGGAGCGAATGGGGATATTGTGCTTACGCTTTGTGCAAAGAGTTGTTAGTTTGAGTTGGGTCTATCCACGGTTGTGTATGAAACGGGATTAGGATGAGTTGATGATGGTGATTTATGCGAAAGTGGCCTTCCTGGATTATAGGCTAGGTCTCCATGGCATAACAGATAATGCTTGAATGAAGTATATTGCTCCTTCGGTAACTGTTTCAGTTTGATAAACAGGGATCATTATCTCCTAAAATGGGTTTTGGCATGGGGCCTGAGGAGCCTTAATGATAAATGCGCGTACTATTTCCGTCAGTCTTTGAAAAGAGTGAAAGTATATGTGAAGGCTTACCATGTTTGTCTATCCAAAGGACATCCTAGATGTCCCAGTAGCAGTTGAGACGCAGTTGTGTATATCTATCCCATACGTTTGACGTCCTAAGAGTCCATACCCAGGCCAAGGGCAACCTTCTCCATTGTAAACCCGCTTGACGATATTTTATCACCATGTTCCACCACAAACACCGATGCCCCGGTATAGAATGCTTGGCCTTCGACCTGGACAATGACTGCGTTGAGTCCCCCACCATCTACCCCATCGATAGTCACTTCCTCCACAATCTCAGCGCTGAAAGTTCCTGTCTCGAATTGATTCGAAACTAAGGAGTTATACGCCCAGCGCTGACCTAAAGGTCTTGCCCCCTTTGAATAAGCGAGCGCCATCCGTGCTGTCACACAGGACCCCGTCGGCGATCTGTCGATCTGATTCTCTGCAAAGTAGCACAGACCCGTCTCCGCGCCCTGCACACCTTCCGGTAGAAACCCAAACGTGGAGTCCACAACCATCACCGAGTAGAGGAACGATAAGCGCTGGTCGTGCGGATGCCGAACCGCAGCCTGAACCTCCGGCAGTCTCATGAGATAAGGTTTGAGTTTCTGGAGGCAGCGTGTCATTGCATCGAGGTCTAGATCCCGCAAACCATCACCGAAGCCGAGCTCGCTCGCTTGGACAATGGCGTAGAATGCGCCGCCGTAGCTGACATCCAGCGCGATGGAGTCTCTGCCCCTCAGCTCGGGCCATCGGATCTCTGGAGCAATGGGGACCGCCGTCTGAATGCGTGTTGCAAACGCAGGCGTGGATAGGAACGTCACCGGCCGCGAGGGGTCGGATTTTCGCCCATCAGCCGAGACGGGGACCGTCACTCGCACCAGACCGCAGGGGGCGTGAATGTTTAGTTTGACGGTCTGCGTGTCTGCTTCGAAAACAATGTTCTCACGACGCGGGAATACAGTGTAGTCGTGGGTGTCGATGAGAAATCGGCCCAGGGCGATGGTCGCGTGTCCGCACATGGTCGAGAACCCCTCGTTGTGGATGAAGAGGACCCCGATATGGGCGGCTCCTGACGAGACCAGCTCGGTCTCTGGGCGGATGATGGCGCCGTACATTCCGTCGTGGCCGCGCGGTTCGAGCATCAGTCGTTTGCGGATATGATCATGCTGCTGTTTGGCTTGGTCTCGTTGCTCGAGGAGAGTTCCTGAGAGTTTTGGGAAGCCGGAGTAGACGATGCGGGTGGGTTCTCCGGTGGTGTGCATGTCGATGCAGCGGATGGGCTGGTTGGAGCCGTTCTCCCCGAGAGATTGCGCTATATCCATGGCGATGGGTGATCTGGTGCTTGTTATCTAGTGGATGATGTTTAAGCTTGGACTGTGCGGTTAATGGATCTACCTGACAATGCAGGTTCTCCGCAGTCATCAGTTCAAGGTGGGGTATGCATCTATGCATTCTACCCTAACAAGCGTTCGATATTGAGGGATCGGTTGGCCGCTGCTGTTTAATAGGGCCTTGGACCTATCCTTGCGCGAGCTTCAGTTTGAGTCATAAGTTGTTGCTAAGTTCCATCTATTCTGGACAAGGAGATAAAGCTTTGTGCAGATAAGCAACCTGAGTATAACGGGATCAGCCTCTAGTGCCTATCAATTGTGAAGACGAAGACCTGGAGGAACACATTTCAGAAGCAGCTCCTGTTCGATCAATTCTTAGATGTATCAACTTATATTACTACTAAGGGTTTACCCATTAAGTGATGTATAAATCCGCGGTTGACTACCTGTACATATATCGAAGGCATAAACTGAGATGTGCATCTAAGGGTGCAATGCATGGGCTCAAGTGTGGTGTAACATTTTGAGCAATGCTAAACAGATAATATCTATATCTTTCTCGCAAGCATATCATAGCAAGCACGAGCTGTGCTTAAGGAGGACATAACTGACTGTAGAACTGGCATTCCGAGTTCCTGACTGAGTGTATGTATGGTGTCTTGATTACCCACTGCCTTAGGCAAGGAAATATAGCCCTTCTAAGAGCGTAAACACTTGTGGATATGTATGTTGGAAAGATCCACTATACTATATCAAATTGGACAAGGCTATGTTTCATAATAGAAACAATGCTATAAGCTAACAATATTATATCTCGAGACTCTATTGGCATGGTTCCGAAGATCTTGTAACCAATATAAGTAGTGTATCTGGACGTACGGTACATCCACAGCAAAAACTCATATTGTTTTATTCGAACTGACTGATTCTTCCAGGATGTCTGTGAACTGTTCGCTCTCCCCTGATGATCAACATTCCCTCGAGGATGGCGAAAGAGTACTCACTGGTTCACCGCCTCGTTGCCCGAGGCATCATGCCTCACCGCCTGCTGGATGGGGATGTTCTGTCGTCAACCCTCAATCATCATCCTCATCACCGTTTTGGTTCTTCTCTTGAGTTATCACCTTCATGTGTGATTCTCATGATATATCCTCCATTTCCTATTTCTTGTGGATGTCTGCTTTCTTCAGTTTCGATTACTTTGCATAGTTGCATGTACATATCGCCCTTTCTTTTCCGTCCATAAATTTCTCCGTACTGTCCTCCTTTTTCCAGATCTTTTTCTCCCTGCGTAGTTGCGCAATAGTCCTAGCTCCGGGACCACTGTTTAAACTCCGCCTGCAACTCCCTTGTGGCTTTCCCTTGGGCAACCCTCGCGCATCGCATGCCTCCAAGGTCCTCTGCAGCTCTCCGCCTGTGGAACTCTAGAGGTCTCCTCTATTTCAATCCTGGTCATCTTCGCTCCTTCTCACTCGTGCCTTCTATCGCCTCTACGGCGATCGACCCTCATTTCTCCTCTTCGCCACGTCGTCGCTTAAATTGCCCTCAGTCTCTGCTGTCACGCTGTTGGTCTCCTCACTCCCTTTCCCGGTCTACCTTCGCTCCTTTCTCAGCTGCAGCCGTCACCATGGGCTCAATCGAACGCATTACGGAGCATTTGGAAAAGCCAGAGCTCGATGATCGCTCCTATCGAGTCATTCGCTTGGCCAACAAACTGGAGGCGCTCCTAGTCCATGATCCTGAAACGGACAAGGCTAGCGCATCCGTCAATGTCAATGTGGGAAATTTTTCAGATGCAGATGATATGCCAGGAATGGCTCATGCTGTAGAGCATTTACTCTTCATGGGAACAAAAAAGGTGGGTCGCAACTAAACTTGTCAAATATCAGGTTTCGTTTGATGAAGTTCAAGTGACTAACTTCGTCGCGGTCCTGATAGTTCCCGAAAGAAAATGCCTACAATCAATATCTTGCCTCTCATTCTGGCTCGTCGAATGCTTACACAGCAGCTACCGAGACGAATTATTTTTTTGAGGTCTCTGCTACGTCCGACTCGGGAGATGGGAAGCCCAACGGCCAATCCTTGACCAACGGCGCAACTAATGGTTCAAATAACGGCTCAACTAACGGAACGACCAACGGAACGACCAACGGCGCCCATGCGTTAGCGGAGTCAGACACTTCCGAGCCCTCGCCCCCTCTGTATGGAGCGCTCGATCGCTTCGCGCAGTTCTTTGTGTCTCCGCTTTTCTTGGAGTCTACTTTAGATCGCGAGCTGCGGGCGGTGGATTCGGAGAACAAGAAGAACCTCCAGAGTGATTTATGGCGCTTGATGCAGTTGAACAAATCATTGTCCAACCCCGCCCATCCTTATCACCACTTCTCCACAGGTAACCTCAAGACCCTGAAGGAGGACCCTCAGCAACGCGGCCTAGAAGTTCGCAGCGAGTTTATCAGGTTCTACGAGAAGCACTATTCAGCGAACCGAATGAGATTATGTGTGCTCGGGCGAGAGTCTTTGGATGAGCTTGAGAAATGGGTCGAGGAGCTGTTCTCCGAAGTGGAGAACAAGGACTTGCCGCAAAATCGATGGGATGATGTTCAACCCTGGAGGGACGAGGATTTGGGCATTCAAATCTTCGCTAAGCCCGTCATGGACACCCGCTCTTTGGACATTTACTTCCCATTCCTGGATGAGGAAACCCTCTACGAGTATCAGCCAAGTCGGTATATCAGTCACCTGATTGGCCATGAAGGACCTGGCAGCATTTTGGCTTATATCAAGGCGAAGGGATGGGCTAACGGGTTGTCTGCCGGCGTCATGCCCATCTGTCCTGGATCAGCCGCTTTCACCATCTCGATTCGTTTGACAAAAGAGGGATTGCAGCAGCACCGAGAGGTAGCCAAGGTGGTCTTCCAGTATATCGCGATGTTGAGGGAAAGGGAGCCACAGCAGTGGGTTTTCGATGAGATGAAGAACTTGGCCGAGGTTGAATTCCGCTTCAAACAGAAATCCCCTGCCAGTCGATTCACCAGTCGACTGAGCAGTGTCATGCAGAAGCCCCTTCCCAGAGAATGGCTTCTCAGTGGTTCCCTCCTGCGCAAGTTCGACGCTGACCTTATCAAGAAGGCGTTGTCATACCTTCGGCCTGACAACTTCCGGCTGATTATTGTCTCTCAGGAGTATCCAGGAGACTGGGACTCCAAGGAGAAGTGGTACGGTACCGAGTACAAAGTTGGAAAAATACCCCAGGACTTCATGGCCGACATCCGAAAAGCCTTGTCTACCACTCCAGAGACTAGACTGTCTGAGCTTCATATGCCCCACAAGAACGAGTTCGTTCCAACTAGACTCTCGGTGGAGAAGAAAGAAGTACCAGAGCCAGCGAAGACACCCAAACTC